AAGAGCGTCATTTCTGGAGAAATACAACATGGTGTTTAGACTGTTTTCATATGGCTTTATTTATAATGTCTAAGTTACCTTGATTATCTCTGATTTTCAAATGGATAGGCATTTGATTCTTATTTAAATATGCAGTGCTTGCGGAATGGAAGCCCCCAGTATATGATAATACACGTGGTATAGTTCTTGTAGCTGCTACAACACGCCGAAATTCACCAAATGTAAGTTTATGATTTGTATACATGGTAATGTGGGGAGAAGGGTTCCTTTTTTAGAAATATTTATGTTTGAGTTACTGCTAAATTTTTAGTCCTTTTAACAGAATTTGGATTCGAAGATTCATCACAATAACCTTCTCAATAACATACTTGCAAAGGTATTTTCCTATTCTTCCCAAGATTTTTTACATGTAGTAATCAACCAAAATGTGCTAACTACTTTTATTGAAAGTGGATGATTTCTATTGTAACAATGATGGTGGTTGAGTTAATTTGACAGGTTAATCCTGAGAGTAATGTCAATGTAGAGTATTGTGGATAATATTATATCAGGAAAAGAAAATGCAATTTATGTTTATTTCCCCGTTATTATTGACCGAGTGCAGATTGAAGGCAATAATGCAAAAGCAGATGATGCAATCATGCTCGACCAAGATGGTTATGTATCAGAAACCAATGCAACTAACATTGTAAGTCCTCAAATTCTCCCCAACTGTTAGGAGGGTCTTTATTCTCATTTTGCTAATTATCTGCTAGGGCTTACTAGGTATCAGGGAGATGTTTCTTGGAGTTCTAGCTCTGGGCTACTGATATACACAACCATATCAAAAATAGAAAAGGTCAACATTGATTTTTTTTTTTTTTGATAAGCCAAATAGTATTATTATTATATAATATAAAGCATCCAAATACAAGATGTATTAGGATTGGGAAACATTACAATTATAGAAGTTACAATAACATTCATTCCCCCCCACCCCCAAACAGATTGAATGGAGAATCTGTAGTATTGTATATCGAGGTCCTTACTTCCTACATGTCGCAAACTTGCGGACTCTTCAATTTGTTAACTATTTGTGATCCATACATTGTTATTATTTGTAATGTACTGTCTAATAAAGGAGTTGACCACCATTACTTACTAATCAAACATTTGTATCTCCTAGAAAGTCATGTCCACTAGATGTTTGTAAAAATACTTCTCCAGAACACACACAAAAACATCAACATTACTCCATCAATCTCTCCACTACTTTTTCTTCCCTTCAGCTAAACTTGGCCCTTCCACGGAACATGAGTTAAACATCAAAGGGACCAATTAGAGACTTGTAATTAACAGTCACATTCTTACAGCATTTCAGCAGCATACTACTACCTAATCCTCACCATGTGGACCAACCAGATGTTCAAACATGTTTAAGCTGCTTCCAAGTAATAACCAATCCATCTCCCCCTTCATATACTACAACCTCCAGTCTTTTCCTCAAATATCCTCCAGTTGCATTCCTCTTTTATGTTGCATATCTCCATGTACGAATGAAAATTCTACATACTGTAGAAACCAGTCCAGCCAAAAAGGCCAAATTAACTTTCTAGTTGAACTATTTCCTCCTCTCCTTAGCACAACTCCCACCCCCTAGTCAGCCCACCAGTTTTGATCGGTGAAATAATTATATCAACTTAGATAAAGATGTCACTAGGTAGAGCTGGTGTAACTCCAAACCATACAAATACACACAAAAAGCTGTTGACGTAAGAGATATATATGAGCAATGATTATCACAAATATAGGATAACCCGAGGGCTGTGATGTACATCCACCATCACCCATAATAGACCAAATTATTGCCACTCTCTCCCAATCAAGACTCCACAGTTTCTACATATCATGCTGTCAAAAAACCCACAAGTCACCACATGGTTTAAAATCAGCAACTCGAGACTGCAAACCATCTTAATGCCCATCTACCAGTTGTTGATCAACATAAAGTTGCTAGTTACTAGATTAATGCAGTAAAGAATTACTCAATAATTCACAATCCCGGATTTAGGCTCCACTGAACAAAGGAGAATTTAAAGCTAGGATCGTAAGCTTTCAACCATGTCCACGTGTGGAACTAAATTTCATGCATAATTACATCCAACTGAAAATCCTTTCTTCTAAAAATAATATTATTTCTTGTGTTTCATAGAACCCAAACTATGCAAAACCAAACATATCGCCACTTCCTATTAGATGTAGAGCTTTCATGACATAATGAATGTTGCCAATAGTGCTGAAAAATTGAGGTTGGCAGCACCGTGTGCAACTGTAACCAAGAGTGACAGAGTTTCCATACGTTATCAGCCTTGTAGCACCAAAACAAGGTGTGCATAGCAGATTCCTGCCAGACTTACAAAACAGGCATCTTGGATCCGAATTAGAGCATCTACAATGGGAGTTGCTTATAAGCAACTCCCAACCAATTTAAATGGGTCCTATTGTGCCACGTCACTCATAAGCAATTTATACTATATTTTGCTCCAATAGAAATTGCTTATAAGCACCCCTATTTTTTCTCTTTTTTTCTTAAGCAACAGAGCTTATATAAGCAACGTTGCTAAAATTTAAGAAACTCACTGTGCCTCTCCAACGGAAAATTTTAATAAGGAACGCTCATGTGGCATTAAGAAACGCACAAGCATCTCCTGCTGGAGATGCTCTTAGTCAATACCACATTTCTTCTTCTAAGATTATCAACAGTTAGGGGTCTATTTCTCAGTAACCTCCAAGCAAAAATGCCAACTTTTGGTGGAATTTTGATGTTCCAGGCATGAGAAAAAATTCCATCATGAAAGTTTCCAACACGGATGTCAAAAAGGGCTGAATATGCGGTGTTTACTGTGAAGACCCCCAAATTTTGACCCCGCCACCTCCAAGAGTCTAGTATGTCCCTCTGTATATGTGTTTCCCTCACCAACTCTAAAAAAGAATCCACCAAAGGTCTTTCCCACTCAAACCACTCCCTACGCCGCTCAAAACTCCACATCCATTCTTTCCCTCATCAACATTGATGACTTTGAGCTGATCACAAATCAGTTAACTCCATGGTTCAAAAAATGTGAAATCATCTCCTTGTAACTTGTAAGATGCAGAAAATATATTGTTGGTACTTCATCATCACCTTGCTGTCTCAAAGGGAAACAGATTCTTGTTAATTTTCCCTTTTAATAAAGGATCACAGGGTTATCTTTTTGCAAAAAGGCTTGCTTGCACCATAGAATGGTAAAGAATCTAATGATTTGGAACACTTCAACGGTTCAACCCATTTATTGCTATTTTTTCTGCAGTTTGTTGTTAAAAAGGGCCGGGTTTTGACACCTCATGCTGATTACTGTCTTCCTGGCATTACTCGTGCAACTGTAAGTTGTGTACACTCACCCAATTGTTTTTAAACCAATTTCTGTATATATTGGAGCATTTATGTTGGGATGCAAGTATAAGATGATGGAACTCTGCTGCTTCGCAATTTTAGGTAATGGATCTTGTGGTGAAAGAACAGCTGATCTTAGAGGAGCGCAGAATCAGCTTGTCCGAAGTGCATACTGCAGATGAGGTTCACATATAAAATTCAAGTATCTTATAAATAAAAATTTCTCACATATATATGAGTAATTTTAAAAGAGTTTCTCTTCATCCACATTTTTTTCTTTCAATTTAATGGTTCCAATGAGTAACTCATTTGAATGTTAGGTTGAAAGAAAATAAAGGGTGAGGATAAAAAGTAACTCTTTCATAGTTACTCTCGATTTTCCCATCTCTCTCTATGTATATAGTTCTTCTATTCTTAAAATGAACTGTTGGCACTTGATTCATCGTCCCCTATACAGGGAACATATCAAATGAGAACAATTCTTATTGTAAGAAATGAAAACTAAAAATATAGATCATTGATCTTATTTGAATGGTCGACATTAAAAGATAGATGCATATAATTTTTTAAGCGATTATGTGACTACAAAATAACTTTTGATCTTGATACTTCTCCTATATGTAGGGATTGTGCCAAATGATAATACTTCTTATTTTGAGAAATGAGAATTATAAGTATATATCATTAGATGTTATTTGAATGGTCAAGATGAAAAGATATATGCACATAATTTTTTGCGGTCATGTGACTGTTAAACTTTAATCTTGATCATTCATGTATGATAATATAATCCAAATTTATCATTCTCACATTCTTAAAATGAGAATAAGTTTTCATTTAATATGTCCCTATGTATAATATAATCCAAATTTATCATTCTCACATTCATAAAATGAGAATAGTTTTCATTTAATATGTCCCCTATGTATAGGGAGTAAATCAAATGAGAACATTTTTTATTGTGAGAAATGAGAATTATAAATATAAATCATTAGATACTATTTGAAGGGTTAATATTATAAGAAATGCACATAACTTTTTTAAGTGGAATTAAATAACTTTAGTCTTGACCATCTATGTATGGTTGCATAACCTAAATTTATAATTCTCATATGATAATTAGATCATATTTGAATCGTCAAGATTAAAAGATAAAAACGCATAATTTTTTTTAAATGGTCATGTCTCCATTAAATAATTTTCAATTTTGGTCATTAATTTATGGTTGTATGACTTAGATTTATAGTTCTGGTATTCTTAAAATCAAAATTATTTGTCTGTTAAACATCCGAATTGATAAAAGTCGCATTCTTTAGGAAGTTGTAGAAAGGTGCAAGAATTGGTGTAATTTATAACTGAAAGTTGATCTCTCCGTGTACATATATACTTATGTTCATGATCAGTTATAACTAGAAGACTGTCCTGCAGGTATGGACGACTGGAACAATGGGAGAACTAAGCCCAGTAAGTGCCTTACCAATTGAATATTATTATACACTGGAAATGTGCTGCTTGGTTTGCATCTAGAATATTAACTAATTCCTTTCCTAATCAATTGCAGAAATGATTGTCAATGTCAAACCTGAAAAGAGTGTTCATTGTTATATAATCAACCTTTGAATTTTGATTTTTCTGTTATTGACAAGTCCTCAGAGCAAATTAATTAGCAAGGATAAGCAATAAGAAACAATTAGTGAAAACCTGATACAAATTCTTGACTTTGCCATTTAAACAGACTAACTCAGCATAGTGCTTTTAATCCATTTGCTCTTTTGGAATAAGTTGTTTCCAATTCCTTCACAACTCGATAAGTATGAACATTGATAATTCGTCTGACCTGACAGCTGTACATTTTTACTATTGTTAATTAATTTTCTTGAACTAACTTTATTGGATAATATAATCTTGTTTAGGTAGTGAAGGTTGATGGCCGCATAATTGGCAATGGAGAAGTAGGACCTGTTACTAGAAGGTTGCAAGCTGCTTACAAAAAGTTGACAGAACAACATGGTGTACCTATACCAACCTACACCAAGACTTGAAAGGTAAAGCATCTTTTCTCTTTTGCTCTTAAGCCAATGCAAACAATTTTTAGACTTTGCTTGACCATACTTTTTGGCCTTAATGCTTTCCATAATCCCTATTTTCTTTCCATACCTTTCAGACTGCAGTTGGAAGTGAGTGGAAATTGCTGCTATACAAGCCTTTTTCCTCAAAAAATAAAAGAATGTCTTTTCTCATTAATAAATTATCAAAGAAAACTTTCTCTCTTTTGTTGGAAAAGGGGGAGGGTGGTAATTAAAAGTCCTCATTCCATTAGAGCTTGTTAAATGAGTGCAGTTACAACTTGCAAGTTTAAAAATGTAATTTACTGATACAACTTTCGACAATATGGATTATTTTGAGCTGTATTTTGGTGGTGCAAGTGATTTTTGTGAGACAATTCGGTTTGATTTGCTTAAAACTGTATGAGTCGTGTTCAGGACAAAAAGTATTAGCATGTTACAAGTGTACAATGTTAAAATAAATTAATGAATTGAAAAGCAATAATAATATTAAAAGTAATAAAAATTATTACTCATAATATATTAAAAATAAATTATAGAAGTAAATTATATGTAATTATTTTATATAGATAAAATAATAACTATGCCATTTAATTGAATTATGTAATTAATAATAGTATAATTATTTTAATTTAAATTATTATTTATTATTTTAATTAGTAGTATTTATTTTAGTCATTTCAGCATTTAAACTAACTAGACTTAGATCAAAAAGAGTATCAAGAAAATGTTAGATATCTAACATTAGGGATGATGTTTGCTTTGATTAAATTTTTATTTAACACTAATATTTTAGTTTATGTAATCTACAGATCAAATATTTATTATATATAATTAAATTTATAACAAGTAAAAAAAATCTATTTATCAATAATTTATCTTTAAAAAAATTAAAGTTTAATGTATAAACAAATATGATAAATAAAAATTAAATTAAATAATAAGTAAAAAAATATATTTAAAAATTAAAAAACGTTTTCATTAAATAAAATTAGTTAAAAACTTTCTTGTCGAAGATATTTATTCATGTTTTATTTAGTATTTTTTATTTTACATTAATATTTGAAAATTTAACTTTAAATTAATTTGGTTAAATTAAGAATTAATTAAAATTTGATCAAAGATTATTTCTAAGGATTATTTCTATCAATGATCAAGTTTAGGTATTTGAATATTTCAACTTTAAATTTAATAAATTAATCATTTATATCTAATTCTTTGACTAATTAATGCAGTATTCATTAAAGTGCTTATTATTTAATGAGAGCTAACATTGAAATTTGAATGTAAGAGAAAGTGCAAGGATTTCTGTAAAAAGTAGAAAAGGCAATGCTTTATCTGCATCGCCTGCGGATGTACAAGGATCAAAATGAAAGGAACAAAATCCTATAACCATCACAGCTTTATAGAGTAAGGACTAAGGAATATGAATTTAAATCAATTTATTTATTTATAAATTCATTTCATTTTAAATTTAATTTATTAGATGTTTAATCAAGTTACATTTCTTACCTTAACAATCAAGTTTTAACTTTTTAATATAATTTAAATTATTCAAATAAGTTAAGCTTAAGAGATATTAATAACTTTTGTGCGTGTGCATTATCATAGTGTATTTTATCTATTACACGTAACTAAAAATTGTATTTATTCATTACGTCCCATCTTAGATATGATCTAACTCTCTTTTAGAATATTGTATTTTAGATACATGATAAATTTGTCTTTCACTTTGAAATTATAACGACCTGGCTGGTCACTACACACTACACAGTACACCTGAAATCGGACAGAAATAAATGCGGAGGCGGAAGTGCTTGTGCTCGAATTTGTCGATTTTGGCCATCCACTTGAAGGCGTCGTCTAGGATTTCGGTGTCGGTGAAGCTCTGGAGGAGGTCCTGGTGGCGCTCGAACTTGCGCTCGAATCCGACTAGACCGACCCGGTTAATCCGAGATTCGACAAACCCGAACCCGATAAACCCGAAACATTATTACAGTCAAAAATGGGTTAAATTTTTTTTTTGGTCAGTTTGGATTGGGTTAAATATTTTTTACCCGAACCCGTCCGAACCCGACCCGTGCTCAGGCCATTGACACCCTTCAAGTTCCCAAAAATTTGCACAACTACCAATCTGTACAAATATAACTCTTTACGCAACCGCAACCTGTACAAACCCTAAACCCTTCAATAGTCCATTCGTTTCATTCACATTGTTGCAACACAGCCTAATCTTCCTCCATCCTTTTTTGACCATGACTTCCACTGC